CCCCCCCACCCCCCCCCCCCCCCCAGGCCAGTAATCAGGACAATCTCACACTTAACATTATATTGAAATTATATGAGCTTCAATTTAAGCTTTATTTATGTCTTTGAGCAATTTTTGTTTTTTTGTGGTAAATGTCGACAAATCAAAACAGTGTACCGATATCCAAAACATAATACATATCAGCACGCACGAGGATGCATGGGAACCTAGAGAGAGATATGGGCTCAAAAAGGTCAAACCATGACTAACAAACCCTGGACAGGTCAAGGTCATTTTAAACCGGTTATACCATCGGGACAAATCAAAATATCTCCTTTAATTCTCCATCCATTTCTACTATCTCTTTTTCTATTTGCACTATGATCACTCTCTATCCACATCTCTCTCTCATTCTCTGTGTCTCTCTCGCGCAATTTCAAAAATATGTTCTCTCTCTCTCTCTATTATCTTTCTGTCTCTACTTAAGTAATCTTAAATTTACTGTAATCAAAGTCAAATTTGAACACACAAATAAAAGCAAATTATACAGTTACACTGTTTAAAATTACTATTTTATTACATCATAATAAAAAAAATGCATAACATGAGGTAACTGTACAAGACTAGGTACATTATATCAATATAATGGCGATATTACACGTCTAACGTATATTATAGTAAATATACAGAAAAACGATTAAAAGGCTAAGTGGATAATAAAAATACCTAGATCTAGTGCCAGCATTCGCGTCTTTGGGCTCTAACCTATGACTAAAATTCCTCGCTTTCCTACCTAGCTCTACTGCGGTTGCCCCCACCTAACCCCCCCCCCCTTCTTTAACAATAACTAGATCTAAATATTGTGCATTAAATTTTCCCAACCCCTAAGTGGATAATAAAAATACCTAGATCTAGTGCCAGCATTCGCGTCTTTGGGCTCTAACCTATGACTAAAATTCCTCGCTTTCCTCCCTAGCTCTACTGCGGTTGCCCCCACCTAACCCCCCCCCCCCTTCTTTAACAATAACTAGATCTAAATATTGTGCATTAAATTTTCCCAACCCCACCAAAGGCACTATTTATAATTCTTCTAGCTGCACCCACTATTTATATTTAGATATTTTTTAATCTATCGCCAGCCCAGGTAGAGATTTGTAGTTACTTTCATTCGACCTAGGACACACACACATGTCACGTACCATGACATAATAAGTCTGTGCGTAGTGTACACAACTGTGTGGATCTGTTATTTATCATTGACTTCCTTTTGTGTGATTGCCCATTTGCGCGCAGAGTTTGCCGACGCAAATACCAGTCGAAATATGGCGCCGATTTGATATGTGTGCAATAAAATGCCATTTTAATGTGGTGTATTATCTTCACTAACAAGATAATAAACTGTTAAAAAAATAAAAATTTAAATTTTAAAAAAATTGTTTACATTCCGGATTTTTTTTGTCCGGCCGCTGTCACCCAACTAGCGGATGGCTAAGACAACAGTAAGTTAGTGAAATGTCTTTGGACAATTACACTGTTGCCCCTAACAACAGTAAGTTAGTTAGTGAAATGTCTTTGGACAATTACACTGTTGCCCCTAACAACAGTAAGTTAGTGAAATGTCTTTGGACAATTACACTGTTGCCCCAAACAACAGTAAGTTAGTGAAATTTCTTTGGACAATTACACTGTTGCCCCTAACAACAGTAAGTTAGTGAAATGTCTTTGGACAATTACACTGTTGCCCCTAACAACAGTAAGTTAGTGAAATGTCTTTGGACAATTACACTGTTGCCCCAAACAACAGTAAGTTAGTGAAATGTCTTTGGACAATTACACTGTTGCCCCTAACCTGCAGCATGCAATCATGTACGTATGCTGGCAATGCTGTAGTGATTGAGTAGGAGACCAAGAGGAAGTCTATTTTTGTAATGGAGACACTGCATCCTTAACTAAGTACAGGGCAATCTGAGGTAGAAATTAGTGGTCTAAGCTCTTCCAAAATAGTGTGGGAAACATCTATCTATCTATATCTATCTATATATATATATCTATATATATACATACAACATTTCAAGCACATTTAGATACCATACGTTGATACCAAATGCAATGCCTAAATAGATATATATTACATTTATAAACGAAGAACTAGTCTTTTTACCACTAAATTTCTAATTCAAACAACGTCTTAAGCAAATTGACCCACTTTTGGACGGATGACAAAATGTCACCTTGCATGTGATGAATAATGTTTTTTTTTAAAAAAGTATTAGCTATATGTCTTAAAAACATATATATGTAAGTCCTACCTTTCAATCATGTGTCCATCTTTTAACAGTTGTATATAGCGAAATCTCTTACAATCAATATACATTATTTACGTGCGAAAATGAAGTATTCACATTAAAATAAAGCATAATACAAATCGTTTACTTTACAAGAAAATGCAGTAACAATTAACGGATGCTGTGTTCAAGCGCTGTCCTCCTCATCATCATCAGAGATGCAGGAATCTGCCTCAACTCCGTTTATGATGAGGCTGCTGTTGTTGACGGCGACACCCATGGATTTCCTCACGTACAGATCCTTGCACTTCACGTGCTGGTGTGTGTAGAAGTTGATGGTCACGGAGCTGTGATCAGAGCCAGAACGACAGTCAGTTCACACCAGTCGATATGTTCATTCAGTAATAGCAACGCATAACATAGATGTGGAAACTGCGGGGGTTTGGGGGGGGGGGGCGAATACCGTGGACATAGCAATACTAAAGACTTTTAAAGAAATACAAAGGAAACATAAACATAATCGGGGAGGGGGGGTGTGACTGTAAAATGTGGTTAAAATGATCGATTAGCTTACATTCAAATCAACAGACACCATAGTCAGCAATTGGCCAATTCTGGAGGTGTTGTTCTTGTGGTGCAGTTCAAATGCTATCATATATATCACGTGTACATGAAGGCACCATTTCCTGTCAGGCGCGCAGGAGTATCCGAACTGCCTCTTACTGTACAACTTTATAATCCAACCATAGTCGTAACTTTTCACAAATTCTCATTAAGTACGCGTTAAAATATTTGTTTTTGTAATGAATCACACAATTCTACAATCACACAATTATACAAACCCACAATTCTACAAACCCACAATTCTACAAACAAACAATTCTACAAACACACAATTCTACAATCCCACAATTCTACAATCCCAAAATTCTACAATCCCACAATTCTACGAACAGGGCTGGCTCAAGGCGGGTACGATGCGAGATCATCACACTGGTGCAAAATTTGTTAAAATCCCCCCCCCCCCAAAAAAAAAAATAAAAATAAAAAAATAAAATTCTGTACACTTCCCCTAATTTTCCAGAGGGCAACAATTGCCTATTTTCAGCCAGCCTAAAAATGTCTAGCGCCGGCCCTGTCTACAATCCTACAATTCTACAATCCTATCCACTTGTTTTAGATAATGAGTCCAACGACCCCACTCTTCCCTACGTCCACACCATTTAAATACTTACATACTTGCATACTTACATGTTCATCTGTCCATCTTTCTGCATGTGGCCCTGGACGTCACATTGGGCGTATCGAGTGGCCTCCTCACCCGTGGCGTCAGGGGGAGAAATCCTGATGAGGTTCTCCAGAGACTGCATCTCGCCCGTCGGCTGGGCCTTCTTCAGCCATGCTGAAAATTCCAAACACGCCGGAAGTTGTGGCAGACACTGGAGTATGGCCTCCTCGATCTTTTTCAAAACCGGCTGAGGTATCTGCGCGGAGCTGGCGTCATCAGTTAGGGATGGCGATGGCGGGCTGGACGTTGATGTTGCCTCTGGGTTGGACTTCGTTCCTGAACAGCTTTCTGCTGAGGATTGTGATTCCAGCGATATTTGCGACACCGTCCACGTGAGCTGTTCGACTGATTTCAGATTGGCTATTTCTGTAGACACCAGTTTGAGTCTGTCAACGCCACTCATTAACTCTTTCAACGCCGATGGAGACGATGTCTTTGCGGTCTGAGCTCGTTCTTTCTTCTTCGGTTTGGCGCACTTATCCCGCTGGGGATGCGGTTGCTTTGAGACGGTGGTGCTAAACATTTCGTTGACATTGCCGATCAGTATTTCGATGTGGACACTATCCGGAGGTTTCTTGGTGGGTGGGGTTAACTTATACCCGGGCCTTAACGCGGCGATTGTAGACATGGCGCGAACTCAACAAGAGACTTCTTTATCGAACTCCTACAAATGTTTTGTTGCTGTACCGTTGGAACTGATCTCGTTCGATTTGTGTCAATAAACTTGAGGCAGAAAGGCCGTAGAACTTTTTGATGGGGAAAATCTATTTTAAAAATGCAAAAACACCATATACTTGAAGGGGGTCAATCAGTGCTGGCAAACACCATATACTTGAAGGGGGTCTTTTAGTGCTGGCAAACACCATATACTTGAAGGGGGTCAATCAGTGCTCGCTTACTAAGACACCGTAAACGGTGACAATGTAAAATGTGCCATTGCTGTTGCCAATATCATAGGTTATTATAACTTACTATGTCCTTCAGGCATTTTATCTCATTTTAAATTAATTTACTTAAACAAAGGGACAAATATGTATAACACAGAATACATAACTGACAACAATATTAATGTAAAATAAATTATTAAACAATAAGACGAAAGCTCATAATAGCATTGCTGCATCTAAGGAACGTGATACCTATTTAAATCACTAGAGAGAATAGTTGTATTGCAAGACAACGATTTAAAAAGAAAAAGAAAGTTGATTTACCTGAATGATTTGAAAAACACACTCCCAACACTGTAGCCAAAAAAAAAAACGTGAATGACTTGTACCCCAGTTCTTGCACTGATGACAACAACAACGTGGAATGATGTGTACCCAGTTCTTGCACTGATGACAACAACAACGTTGAATGATGTGTACCCAGTTTTTGCACACCCCTACGTCTCAAACACCGACACGTAATGACGGGAATTCAGGAAATCCTTCAAGCGGGAATTAAAAAAAGTTTTCGTCGAGGCTCAGCATGTTTAGTATCCATGTGTTGATAGGACGAGCAACCAATAGAAATCACAACGGAAATTTACTACTTTTACTGGCAGTTTATTTTTTATCTTGGCCGGAAACGGGGGGAATACCCACGGAACAAAACTAAATCCGTTAGAAAATAGGCGAAGTTTATGGACGGATGGTTAGCCTCGTTTTGTAGGTTGATTTAGTTTTAGAGCGTCAACAGTTTCAAGAAGTGCTCACAGACACATATATTTTAAAATAATATGTATTAATCATAAGGCAGTCTAAGTGATACGTTATATTTGCAGTCTTGGGTTTTTTTAATAGTAGTTTCTCAATGGTTTAATGGTGTTAAATCTACGCGGTTATTGGTGTTTAATCTACTGGGATATTGGGGTTTAATCTACTGGGATATTGGGGTTTAATCTACTGGGATATTGGGGTTTAATCTACTGGGATATTGGTTTCAATTTACTGGGACATTGGTTTCAGTGTAATGGGACATTGGTTTCAGTGTAATGGGACATTGGTTTCAGTGTAATGGGACATTGGTTTCAGTGTAATGGGACATTGGTTTCAGTGTAATGGGACATTGGTTTCAGTGTCATGGGACATTGGTTTCAGTGTAATGGGACATTGGTTTCAGTGTAATGGGACATTGGTTTCAGTGTAATGGGACATTGGTTTCCATTTTGCGGGGACAAAGGTTGCTTGAAGAAAAAATTCTTGGCACTAAATCAGTAGTCTCTTGGTGTACACGGAGAGTAATTTCTCCATGTACTTTTATAGCGGCTAATTGGTGTACTTAGACAATGGTTTCTCTGTGTACTTGGAAAGGGGCTTGCTCAAGTAGCCTGACAACCTATCCATGTATATTATAATTATTTAAAAAAATCTTATTCAATGACATGATTAAGGACTTGTTCAAACAATAATAAATCCTTATTTTTTGGTCTTCTGAGAAAATAAAATAATGTTAAAATCCTTCATCAAAGGGTTTGTTACAACCACAGGCATTGACGACAGAACGTCACAAGAGCAACCTGGCGTTTTTGAACAACCTAGCTGACTCAACTTTGACAGTACGTTTGTTAGACCAACATTTGAATGCTCACCTAAGGAAAAATGATAGAGAGAGAGAGACCAATACAGAGAGAGAGAGAGAGAGGGAGAGAGAAAGAGAAAGGTCCAAAAAGAAAGAGAAGAGAGACAGAGGTTGAGACAAAAAGAGGGACTGGGAAAGACCTAGAGATAGACAGAGAGAGACAGACAAACAGAAAGAGAGACAAACGGAGAGAGGGACAGGGAGAGATACAGAGACCAAGACACAAAGAGAGAGAGACAGAGAGAGTGCAAGAAATAGAGATACGGGGAGAGATCGAGAGTGATAGAGCGATAGAGAAAGATAGAGATATAGACAAAATGACCGAAAGAAAGAGAGAATGAATGAGAGAGAGAGGGAGAGAGAGAAATAGACAAGAGTGAAAGAGATTGAGACACACACAGAAAGGGAGACAAACACAAGAGGGACAGAGAGAGATAAAGAGATACACGGATAGACTAAAACACAATGAGAGCCAGTGCAAGAGATAAAGATACAGAGAGAGAGAGAGAGAGAGAGAGAGAGAGAGAGAGAGAGAGAGAGAGAGGGGAGAGAGTGTGCAAGAGAGAGGGAGAGAGAGATATATAAAAATATATGACACGGCCATAATAATACAAATATATACACAGTGAAAAACAGAGAGAGAGAGAGAGAGAGAGAGTGAGAGAGATAGAGAGATAAATAGATAGACGGATAGACAAAAACACAAAGAGAGCGAGGGCAAGAGAAAAAGATACAGAGAGAGAGAGAGAGAGAGAGAGAGAGAGAGAGAGAGAGAGAGAGAGAGGGGGGAGAGAGTGTTCAAGTGATAGGGAGAAAGAGATTTATAAAACTATATGACACGGCCTTAATAATACTAATATTTACACAATGATAAACAGAGAGAGAGATAGAGAGAGAGAGTGAGAGAGAATGAAAGAGATAGAGAGAGAGTGCGAGTGATAGAGATAGACTGAAAGAGACAGAGAGAGATAGAGAAAATGACAGACAGAAAGAGAGAATAAGGGAGAGAGAGAGACAGAGACAGATTGGACAAAACATCAATACGGGTTCAGAGGTAAGCTTACAGTTGCCGTTAAAGAATATAAATGGCAATAACTGTTGTCTAAATACACAACAACGTGTAGGGCTTAGGGGATTTATGGGGTGGGGGGGGAGGGTGGGGGGAGAACGATGTGTTTATTTCCTTTGCGGTCGTTTCATCCATTCATTCACCTGCTTACGAATGCCAACAGGAGCCATGAGTGCTTATGAATACCAACAGGAGCCATGAGTGCTTACGAATGCCAACAGGAGCCATGAGTGCTTACGAATACCAACAGGAGCCATGAGTGCTTACGAATGCCAACAGGAGCCATGAGTGCTTACGAATGCCAACAGGAGCCATGAGTGCTTACGAATGCCAACAGGAGCCATGAGTGCTTACGAATGCCAACAGGAGCCATGAGTGCCTACGAATGCCAACAGGAGCCATGAGTGCTTACGAATGCCAACAGGAGCCATGAGTGCTTACGAATGCCAACAGGAGCCATGAGTGCCTACGAATGCCAACAGGAGCCATGAGTGCTTACGATCCAGCTTGTGGAAGGATGTGGCGAAATTGGCGTGGGTGTCTTTAAGGTATCACGTAATAAGCATTTGAGGAATCGTCACAAGTTGTCGCAATCACTCACCCTTGGTGGATGCTTTGATAATCGGTTTGGGTTGCAATCACTCACCCTAGGTGGATGCCTTGATAATCGGTTTGGGTTGCAATCACTCACCCTAGGTGGATGCCTTGATAGTCGGTTTGGCTTGCAATCATTCACCCTAGGTGGATGCCTTGATAGTCGGTTTGGCTTGCAATCATTCACCCTAGGTGGATGCCTTGATAATCGGTTTGGCTTGCAATCATTCACCCTAGGTGGATGCCTTGATAGTCGGTTTGGCTTGCAATCACTCACCCTAGGTGGATGCCTTGATAGTCGGTTTGGCTTGCAGTTACTCTATCTAGGTGAGTGCCTTGCTTAAGTGTTTTTACTCATTTTGAATGTCTCTGTTAAAACTTCAAACTTATTGTGATGTTAATATTCTAGATCAATATTTATTGAACTCTCTTAATCGATCATATCCAATTTAAAAAAAAGGAGTCTGACATTTACTTTGCAATTAATAAGGACAGTTGCTCATTGTTAATTTCTTACAAATGTCCCTAATTAAGTTAAAGAACGATATTATTACGTTATAACATTTGATGTCCAGTTTTTAAAAGAAAAGTAGGTTAATATTCTTTGATAACTCATGGGTGGATATTAAAATGTGTGTGTGTGTATGTGTGTGTGCGTTTTTAGGGGGGGGGTTGGGGGAGAGAAAAGCAATTGCGTTTATAAAGAAAAAACTAAAAATTCATAATCCCATCTTTAAAAACTGAAATGACTTTAGAAAGACTCGATTAGTCTCTTTAAAAATTATAACATTTTTTGAAAGAAATATTTAAAAAAAACCATGCTAAAAATAAGCTCCTCCCAAGACTAGAAAAGAAATACCTATTGCTTTTTCTCCTGGCATATTTCCAGTATCTATTTTAAAATCCATGACATTATTTGAAGATTTGTTGAAAACACATAAATTTTTAATTAAAACTGAAAAAAAAAATAGTAAGTTATTCTTTTATCAATATGGTTAACAATAAAATTAAGCTCAAAAATATTTAATAAATAAGAAAACTTGTCAAAGTTGTAAACAGCTAATGGGATTTTAGGGTAAAAATTGAAACAGTTCAACAATTTTTGTTACCAATTGTATGAGTTACGAATGACGCTTCTTTTATGCTCGTCTTCTGCCCGTGTACTGCCTGTGTACTGCCCGTGTACTGCCTGTGTACTGCCTGTGTACTGCCCGTGTACTGCCTGTGTACTGCCCGTGTACTGCCCGTGTACTGCCTGTGTACTGCCTGTATACTAGCTGTGTGAAGATCATGTCATACAGATTTCAAATCGAAGCCAAGAGATTGTTGTTTGCATTTGACGTCCAAAGTAACAGTGCACAAAGTGAGATCTCAACAAAACTGCTCCTTGCCATCAGGAACGAAACAATCCATTTCTTAAAATTATAATAATAAACTAAATTTTAACTAATGAGAGGTTTCGACACTGGCGATTGTGACATGATCATGGACGACTAAGACCATATCATAGATGATTGAGACCAGACCATAGATGATTGAGACCAGACCATAGATTATTGAGACCAGACCATAGATGATTGAGACGACATCATAGATGATTGAGACCGGACCATAGATGATTGAGACGACATCATAGATGATTGAGACCGGACCATACATGATTGAGACGACATCATAGATGATTGAGACCCATCATAGATGATTTAGGCCACATCATAGATGATTGAGACCACATCATAGATCATTGGGACAAGACCATAGATGATTAAGGCCTGACCTTAAAGATCAGTACTTGCGAACAATCCCTAATGGTGTGTGAACTTGAGGACTGACTACAGTAGATATTTTCTAAACTTTCATGAAGAAGCTTGGCCCGTATTGCTTGTAATTATTAGATTTATCTGGCTAATACATTATTGTAATTCATACTTAAAGCTTGATGTACATGAGAGAGAAAGACAGAGTGAAAAAGAAAAAGCAAACTAGAGAGAAGAAGATAAAGACAAAAAAGTGGGGAAGCAAGAAAGAGAGAGAGAGAGAGAGAGAGAGAGAGAGAGAGAGAGAGAGAGAGAGGGAGAGAGAGAGAGAGAGAGAGAGAGAGAGAGAGAGAGAGGGAGAGAGAGAGAGAGAGAGAGAGAAAAAGAAGGAGACAGAGAGAGAG